TTTTGTTGCCTACACCTAACTGTTGGTGGTTTTGTTGCCTACACCTATCTGTATGAAGTTATTTTGAGGCCAACCATGATGTTTTTCCTTCACCTTACCAAGTGGTTTTGTTGCCTGAACACAACTTTGGTTTAAACGTAACGTCGTCCCAAAAGAAAAACCATGTAAACGAAATCGATAGACTGCATTTTGTGACTGCCGTGAGACTTCCACCTTATTAACCAGTTAAATCTCCTCCTCCACAGTGGAGGGGCCTGCAGGGTGGATGCAGAGGTGCAGCAGGAGGTGCAGCAGGAGGAGGTCCAAGAGATGCAGGCTGCTCCGCAGAGGGAGTCAGCAGCAACCATACGGAGCCCCAGAGATGAAGATGATCAGGAGGAAGAAGAACTGAGCTTCACACATGAAGAGAAGGAAGACCTCCATCTCAGGAGGGAGGAGAAACACCGGGAGGAGGAGGAGGAAGACCACAGGATGCCAGACGAGGTTTGCTTTGCAATAATACTGCTACTAATACTACTACTACCTCTACTGCTACCTTTACTTGTACCTGTAATTCTTACCCCCAGACCTAAAGAGGACATTTGTCAGTTGGTTTCCATCATCCATCATCTTAGTCACACCAAATTATATTTGAAACCACCGTTCAGATTTTGGATATTTTCATGGTCACCAGAGGATGAATTAAATGAATTATTTAATACATTTTAAACAATTCAGTCTTTGGCAAGGTGTCCTGAAAACCGATGAATTGTACTGTAGATATTCATGGTCCCCAGAGGACAAATCCTAATGTTTTTGTTGACTAGATGACATTTCCTGTAGCTCCACAATCACACCACAATGTCTTTATACCAGATATAAGAAGATATAAAGGTGAAATCACCATAGAATGTATTGACTACATTCATGATCCCCAGAGGAGGAGCTGTTTGCAGACTTTATGAGCATTATTTAACATTATCCTCAGGCTAAACTGTGAGTTCTGCTCAGAAGATGTTTTGATTATTTGTTGAGCACATTCAGACTCCCAAGCAGATATTCCTGGTTTTAATCCTGGTGCAACCATGTAAAGCCACTTTAAAGTTAAAATAAAGTTTATTGTATTGTTATTATTGTAGCACTGCAGGGTACCTTTATGGTCCACTTGTCGACAAACTTTCCATTTTTACTTACATGACTGGATCTAAAATGTATATTGTAGGTTATGTCCAACTCTTTCACATTGTGTGGTGTTATGATGAAAATACTTCAACTACGAAGCAGCAGTGAGCTTGCACAACACCAAATGTGTTTCTCCCAGCGTTTCATACCATTTAATTAAACACATGCATGCATGAAAAAAAAGATTTTTGGCTTCAAATCTGAAAGTAATAAAAGTGAAAGAATGCAGCTTTGGCTCTCGTGTGTGGAAATGAGACGCGCAGCCTGACGAGAGCAGCGATGATGTAAGATGTGGTAACAAATTCCTGCTTTTAGCACCAGTGGTTTGCCAGTGTTTTATTAGTGTTTTATTAGTGTTTTGCCACAAAATAACCAGGGTGAGCAGTGTGAAGACGTATTTTTTAAAGTAAAAACCAGAGAAAGAACAGGTATTAAGGATAACCGTTCCCCAGATTATAATGTTTAACACAATTAAATATTCATAACAATGCTTGTATTGATTTTTCCCGATTGATCAGACTTCTGCGTATGAACTGGTAATATTTGTTTGTGTGTTGGTGTCCTAGAGTTTGACGGAGAGCAGGAGGAGTGAGGAGGTGAACAGAAGATCTGCAGCCTCTCTTTGCTGCAGCAGTGAAGGCGAGGAGCCGTTAAACTACGGCCCCATGAGCCCCACATTCAAGGTATCTCATCAAACCACAGGGGGGCCTGTACAATAAAGTTTTACAGATTGTCTCACTTTTCTTTCTCCAAATTAAAGGAAGGATTGCCATAAAGCATAATTTTAGAGCTGCCATTCTGCAGCAGCATTTAACAACCTTTAACCAAACCTTCACTACTGTTGCTAGGCCTGTCATACTTAGAAACAGGAGCCCAGACAATGACTTACTGATGTAGATGCAGGAGCTTTCCCTCTAAAACTACATTTCCCATGAACCGGATAGTTTCCTGTTGAAATGAGGGTGTTGCCTCTTAGCTGTGGAAGAATACCACCTTCTTCCCATTTTATGTTATAAAACCAATAAATGTATCAGGATAATGTGATGAATTATGGTGAAATGATAGTGTTGAGTCATGATAACCATGTTGTGTTGAGTCATGATAACCATGTTGTGTTGAG